TTCTAAAGGTGGTAAGATCATTAAAAATGGCCCAGTAGATCTTTTTCTATGGCCTCTCAAAGTTTTAAAATGATTGTTTATAAAAATCACATGATTTAATTAATCGTTTTAAAACTTTGAGAGGCCATAAAAAAAGATCTACTGGGTCGTTTTAATGATCTCACCACCTTTAGAATCGTCTAGGTCTGGAGAACAAAGTTGTCTTAATCAACTTTTCCAGTTTACTTAGTACCAAACATAGTTCTGGAGGGTTTTTATTTATTATATAAATAATTTATAACTGTAGAATATATATATGATATGTGTAGGATATGTATACGATATGTGTAAGATATGTGTAAGATATCCTGCATCAACTTTACACATATCGGGTATCTGATAGTTATATGATATATATATGGTAGGTGTCAGATATGTGACAGATTTTTATTGATATCTGTTGGGTACTCATCTGTTACCTATCTAGTACCTGATATTTATAATCAGACACCTATTTTACACCTATCCTACACATATTCTACACATATTCTACACATATCTGCGTACTAGATATATGTAGGATATGTGTAGGATATATTAATTTCGATCTGTGTTACTGTTGTTTTGGTTATTTCAGTAGTGGTTCTTTATATACCTACACTATGCAGAGGACTTGGGTATGAGCCATTGGAAAATCATATCAAAGCTAAGTTATAGGCAAAAATAATTTCTAATACCTTTACTTTATATAATTCCAAGTTTATTCCAGTATGGGAATTTCATCATCTTTTTCCAGGTCATGGTAGATGTGGATCATCACGATCTGACCTTATTGCTATAGTTGTTAATCAAACAAATTTGCAGTTTCTATTTTTTTTGATTGAATTTGAGCAGAATGGTTTCGAAGTTCATAAAGATGAAATAGTTGCAGTGTTTGAAGCTGCTCATGAGTTTAACCGTATCTTGTCATTGGGAGATTATCAAACCGAAGATGAAGTGAATCAGACATGTTTTCATATAGGATTGATTAAAAAAACAAGCATTTAATTTAGTACTCTAGAATCTCTATATGACCAACAACATTCTAAACTTTTATATATTCACACTCGAAATAAACTCTTCTTAAATATCAAGACTAACAATGTTAAGACCGATGTTGAGAATGTGCTTAAGTTAGTAACATATCTGCGAGAAGTTGTTTGTCATGATGGAGACTGGATCAAAAATATGATAAGTAAGTAGCCAACGAAATTTAGCATTAATTTAAAAGCAGCACTTCCATCTCTTCTGACAAAAAGCTATCAAATCTAGGCCTTTTAAACCAAAATTTACTCCTATCTTGAAAAGAGTAAAATATGATTTCTTGGGCAAAGATGAGTGGTGTTGCACTTTTTATATTGGCAAATTAAAGGTAGGGATATTGATATAGACTAATGGACTACAGTCAGTCTTAGATAAGATTAGATCAGGCCAAATTGTTAACACCCCTGGTAAAAGATTTAATTTCAATTCTTTTTTTTTTTAAAAATGAAAATACAGTTTGACAACTCAATATTTTGCAACAATAACATAATGATCATGGTGAACAAGTTCAAATTTGATAATGATCATCGTAGTTGAATAAATAAAGTTTTTTATATATGCTAAAGTACTTTTTATTCTCGTGATATTTCAAAAACTTATCAATTACCGTATATTCCCGAAAATAAGCTACTTTTTTTGGGCAATTTTGAGTAAAAAAAATTGAATGTAGCTTATTTTCGGGAGTTATGACTTTTTAAGAAGTTGGCATTTAATAAGAGATAGCTTATTTTCGGGTTATAAACCCAAAATTTTATTTTTTTTCAAATAAACTCAAATCAGATTCACTTTGGTTTATAAACCCGAAGCAAACCCGATTTGAATTCACATTATTTTTTTTATTTCAATATTGTATGTACGGCATTTTTTTTTTTATTTTTTTATTATTAATGGTTTATTTTTTTTTATTTACCGTTATATATATATTTTTTTTTTTAAATTCAAATGATCATGTTTGTGTAATACTGTTTGCTATTTATGTTTATGCTATATAATAGGACCGATATGAAGTATTAGCTGCAGGTATACAACCACCCTCCTTGCAATATGTATCCAAGAATCCACAGAACTTGTCAAGCTTCTCTAAAAGTATGTTAGCCTCAGCCCAGGCTTGAACAAGATTACAAAGAAATTCTTTTTTTATCAGCCACCGTTAAAGCTGAAGGAAGACACAGTTGTCGGGTTTAGTTTGAAGATTTCAAGTAAGCTTTGTGTTTTTTTTTGTGGGTTTTAAATTTTATATGTGATGTAATAAAAGCCTTATTTTTATAACTAATGCTGTGATTACAAAAATGGCATATAAGCTTCCCAGAATCAAAAATAAAGTGTTCCGAAAACTCTTGTGTACGGCTATAGGTGCTTGTTTTTTTAGGAGAACTTATTTTTGTTAGTTTTTTTTTTTTTTTTTTTATTCATGTATATTCAGAAACACAACTTTCAAATACATGTTCAAAAGACAAAAAAAACAACTACATATATTCAAAAGAACAAATTTTGGCTTATTCGTGTTCAAAGAACAAACTGTTAAATAATTTATACTAGATTCACATGTAATATTATGCATATTCTGATTGGTCAAGCCTATCAGCCAGATCATATGAATTCAAAAACGACTGAAATTTGGGTCTGATTTGAATATTTATGGGCCAAAATTTGAAAATTTTTGGGTTAAGTA